AGTTCAAAACCTTTTAGCGCTTGAGCACAGCCTTTGCCCACGTCCCCATAGCCGGCGACCACACATACCTTGCCGGCAATCATAACGTCTGTAGCGCGTTTAATGCCATCGATTATAGATTCCCGGCACCCATATAAATTATCGAATTTGCTCTTAGTTACGGAATCATTGACATTGATAGAGTTTAGATTTTAGTTTGGCCCTCTCTGCTACAGAGACGGTGGTCGCAATAAATAATTCTCTTGGTATGTTTTGACTAACTGGAAACTGCTGTCTCTCTTTCTAAGTCATCGTAATTACAATTAAATTTTTTTTCTTATCTGGTTGCGTTCAAATCCATGCGCTGCGAAAGAATGCTTTGGCTTATACAAACATTGGTACGCACAAAACTTTTTATTTTGTTTGGACCACGAATCTCTTAATGCATTTTTGCATGAAACAGGCTGCCTCCTTACTGAGGCTTGCCTGTTCGACCATCACTCTAAAGAGAATATTCTGGTTGCAGAAACTTAAATGCTAAGGCTGGCCATCTCTACTACATAGACATTCACTTCGTATGTTTTTCAACGCATTTCTTTATTAGGTAGCTTTTATAAGCTTTCCTTCATTTATTAATCTATTCAAAATTCTTCAACCATTTCGTTATATATATTTATTACTGCCAATGGTGAAATTCATGGTTGAATTCATGAGAATCAAATCCCAGGTTTTTGTCTACGGTAACGAGAAGATGTTTCATTTCTGTTACTTGTCTTAGGTGATCACTGTCCATTAATTTGCTTCGACTTGGTGTTTTATTTATAGGCATTACATTTTTTTCTTTATATTAAGTTTTAAAAGTGAACAAAGTATAATAGGTGCAATGTGTTGTCATGTATGTGATCTTGGGAACAAACCCAGCTGTAGAGAAGTAATGGAACATTTTGAAACGTATGAAACACCTGAAAATATGAAAATAAAATGCGTATATACTATAAGGTTAGACATTATTTTCAATTCCACTTTTTAACAATATCTCAAACTCAAAATAAGGATTGCAACGAATCTGTACAATGGACATTCTTAAAAATGATTTTGAATATAAAGCAAGAAATTGTTTGGAAACTAACGACAAAGACGAAACCAATGACTGAGCGGCTGACTTCGATCTAGAATGCTTATATAAAGCTTATGTTTTTATATTAATATGTTTCGTTTTTATTTTTCGCTACAATTACTATCAACGCCATAATATTATTCTTCGTATCAAATTAATATGATAATAAATATATTTAAAGCTGCGTACATTCTGCGCAGTCATTTATATTAAATACTAAGAAAGGAAATTCACATCAACTCAATAAATATATGAATTTTATTTTTTTTATTTTTCATTTATGTATACATTACATTATTATTTTACAATCTATTCAAAAAGATGGTAAGAAAATGTTATAGCAAGATGAAAAAAATAATGTATAGGTTATTGTCTCCCCAAGGGAAACATATAATTCAATAATACAGATGATGTTTAAACGAATAGAAAGAAACTGTATAAACTTGAAAAATTCATTGAAATAATTTAGGGAATGAAAATAGATATATATCTAAATGGAAGCTGCGCCATATGAGGCTTCTATAATTTTCTTGGATTTTATTGGATTAATCCAGCAGAAATAATCCCGTAAGGGATTACGGAAATTCCATCTCATCATGAATAACTTTGTTTCTAACGAACCGCGGGGAATGTTATTAATGAGCAACGAGACGGAGAGTCTCATTGATATTTTTGTCGTATTTCTATTATTTAGCGTAAGCGTAATATGTGTCGATTTTTCAGCATTTCTTTTAAAAGGCGAAATTTCGGTACGATAAAGATAAAGTAGTGCGTAAGAAACATTGATTACTAAATAAAGATGGATTGATAGGAAATGATGATATTGCTCGATAGTATCATGTTCATTCTTAAAACCAAACTGATGGAATAATAAGTTCGTTTTTACCTCAGCTAAAAGTAAACGCAAATTTTTTGTAGATGTATTCGAATACTTTTTATGTGCCCTTTCAGTTTTGATCATTTCGCTTTATTAGCGATATCTGGACTCATAAATATTCCTGAGAGAAATTTTCTAGAAAGCATAGTGTTTATTTACGAGCGACCTTAGCAATGGAAATCGAACACTCCAGTATCTACGATGTAACTACAAAAATATAAGATATGTAGTGATATATCATAATTTAATATAGCCTGAGACAATTTAGAGAACACTTAATGGAACCTGTAGGTCAACTAAGTAAAAATGACATCAGAATTACACGAGTATGACTTCCCTTTTACTATGCTTATCAGTCCATCGGGCTCTCTGCCTTGTTTGCTCGTGTTTAATCTAGAGGCTGAAATTGTTGAGTCGTTTCAATGAAATTTGATACTCTGACTTGTTTTAACTTAAGGACAAATGTTATTCAAAATAGTTAGGATCGGATTACCTTTCCGTTAACATTCTAACTAACTGCAGGATGGTATAGGGCATCTAATTGCAGACCGTAGCCTATTATAGTGTTTTCACATGTTTTAACCGTTCGCCAGTATGGAAACTTTCATGGAAACTATTTCAGTTACCTTCAAGTATCCTATTTTGCTGAAATTTTGCACACACATTCAGTTGAGATGACACTGCAATATTGTATATCCAAATTTTCTATATATTCAAAACGGCGACCGCTACAAAATAGTAGGCTGTCTTTTTATAACAATCCTTTGATGTAGATATCAACTAAATGAAGTTGAAGAAACTTCCCCGCCTCTTTGTTTTTAATCATGTGTTTGTTCTTAAGTATTTATAACGTTGTATTAGTAAGTATTTATAGTTGCAGGGAATTTATATGCGCATCTAAAGAATACTGGCCTTACATCGAGCAATTATTATTAAGCAGCTGTGAAAGAAAATTTCTAAATATTTGCGAGAATATTGCAAATAATATTTGCAAAAATGAAAATGAACAGCATGCTTATCTTCGAGAAATTTCTATTTCCATATACACGTTTTATTGCGAAAATAGACTTTTTTTTGAAGCAAACAAGCACTGCCGGCAAATATCTTATGTCGAAAACAGTTTACTTTGTCACCAAATGTTTCTTTGTGTTCTATCAAGCACAAAGTGAACATTTTTCAAATAACGAGTTTTAAATTTTATATAAAGAAATTGTTCTCTCTTTTATACATAATTACACAGAATTGTTAATAAAAACGATTGCGAATGTGTAATGAAGAAGATTGCGATTGCGAACGCATTAAAGATTTAAAGACACATGTGTTACAAGCGATGAAAACAATAACCTCTCAACAAAACAGATGCTAAATGCAAAATGAAAATGGCCTGACCGTGGCTACGTTATTTTTATGTCTTTATTCTTTAAACAAAAAGCAGACCGAAAATGCAACGCTGATCTATTTATTGCGGGTTTTTCGCCTATGTGAAAGTCACCAACGTCAACGGAACATGTGTGTCATCTTGCACGTTTTTACATAAACAAAAAAGAATATAATTTTAGTTAATTACATTTTCACCTTCTCCATGTTTCTACTTAGCTTAAAAAGATTAACTTTCGTATCATTAAATGAAGATTCTTTAGAGTGGGTTTACTTTTTCGGTCCACACAAATGTAAGAGATTTTCCTGTATAAAACCAAATAGGTTTTTGGCAGCATATTGTGAGTAATAATTTTTTCCCAGGAAAAAAAAACGTATTAACTGAAAGAGAAAAAAGCTTTAAATTCTTTAAAAATTTTGCTACAGCATCACTAGAAGGTTTGAAAATGAGCAGCTTTTCACGATATTTACATTTTGTACTTTTTTCACAAGACTTCTAAATAAAACTTTTAAGCAAAAACTTCAATTTTGGGGCACTTCGCCCTCATAAGATTTTACGCAAATAATTAATCATACCATATAGAATAGAATAGTAGTTTAGTAGAATTCAAAATGAATAAAAAGATATTTCCAGGTGGAACGATACCAAAAATCGAAATTTTTTTTTTTTAGTATTTCATTTGATTTTTTATACTGACGATTTATATTTAACTTCTAAACATTAGAATGTACATAATTAAAGTAACGCTCACTAAGTAGGCTTGCACTTCCTATTAAGTTAAGTTTTAATATACTTTAGATAATATTTTTTTAAATGAGCTATAACATGGAAGCGAATGTATTAACCTAAAAAAAATTTTCAAAATTATCAAAATCTTTGTCGATGCAAACTTTGCGAGTATTCTGATATATTTCGGTATACTATTCCTGTTATGTACAATTACAAAATTAACCCAAAATAGCCATAAAAATAAATGTTATATAATTTTATAGGAGTAAATTACGATTTTCTTACGCATTAAATAATATATTATTTGATAATGTGGCAGTTTGTTATTTTCACGTCGATGGAGTGTTTTTGTGAAACTGATTGGAAATTTTCACAGTTGGCTACTTAAAGTCAATGTAGAAAAGAGAAAAAGACAGTATTAGTGAAACTTTTGCAAGAATAGTTCTAATAATGGTTGCTTAAAAATTTTTAGGATTATTGCGATATGTATTTTAATAACTAGGGTAAAAAAGTATTATTAAATACTTTTGAAGGCCTCAACGATTATGGATAATAATCGAAAACTTGAAAATATAATTTCTATTTATTCTAATAAGAGAAATTCGTTATGCATTAAGGAAAAACTGGTGTTCAAAGTAAAGAAGCATATTGAGAGAGTTAAATTATGGTGAGAAGTGTTAAAAAAAAAAGTGTACTTTATTCTCTCTGTCTGAATATGGCCGAAATGCATGCGGCGAATTATAAACTTTAAAGCAAAACGGCAACTGACATTTCATTTCAGCAATAGCAAGTAAAGGCGGCTACACCCAAAAAGAAGTCGGTATTCTTTTTTTTTTGGACAACTACAATAAAATTATATGTTTTACTCTTTGCTTACCAATGACTTGCATTTTACGAAACGGGTTGATCTCAGGAAAAGCTTGTGTGCTGTGTGGGTGTTAAGGAAATTAATAAAAAAAAAAAAATAAAAAAAACTGTATGCGTTGCTTAAACAAATCGTAGTAAACGACTTAACAGTTGTATTGTATTAGATCAGTTGAGTGTGTGTCACATTATTTTAGAGTAGAAACCGCTGTAAGAAAGAAACTATGTGCATAACACACAAGGGTCCACGCCTACTCTTGGTCCATTATCCAAATTTATATAATAAGAAAAAATTTTATAATTACCTATAAAAGACCTTTGTTAAGCAAAAAAACGATCATTGTGCATTGTGCCATCGCATTTATGATATGTGTATGTTTGTGTGCGTTTATTCATGTTACGAATTTTGTAATGAACCGTAAATTGTGTGCCATTTAATATATACATACAATATAATCAAAAAGAATTTTTCCTTTAGTACATTTCGCTTTCATATTGTGTTGTTTTGTGACAGTGTGCTTGTGTTTTCGCGGTAGCGGTACTCATTTCCCCCATTCTAAAAGTATTTGTAAGCAAATGTAATATGGATTGCAGTCTTGCAGATCAACAAACTCCCACAAGTCATCCACAACAACTTCAGCAAAAACGGCAGCCCCAGAAACAACAACAGAAAATATTAATACAAAATTCTGCAATCCTAAGTCTCGACGAGTCGGTAAGCTTGTCCATTTCACTTCTTATTACTATTTTATCCCTCCTTCTCCTCCTCCTACTACTACTACTACTACTACTACTAACAATATTATTATTTATATATTACTTTTTAAGAGTTGACATAACCGTATAGCTTAATAAAGTTGAAAGTGTTTTAATAATAACAACTATGAAATTATTATTATAATTATATTTATATATATATATATATATATAAAAAGTGCACTTATGATATTATTTTCTCTTTATGCTGTTATCTGCTTCCTTTTCACTTGACATTTCTCCACCACAGTTTGCATTATTCATCATGCTCTAAAAATGACCAATATATTAAGTTCTCCCTTTCTCTTTCCACGTATTCTTCGGACATTGTAATAATTTTCTTTTAATTTTTAATAAAATATACATTAGTTTTTCGCCATTTCTGTCGTTGCCGTCATTGCCGTCATTTTCCTTCATAAAAATCTTAAACTTGTGTCAGTTTGGTTGTGTGTGTATTGTTATGAAGTAGAAAATTTAGGAGGGAGTGGAGGGGGGTGGGTGTGGAACTGAATTCATCATAAAAGAAATATATTCTCCCTCTCTCATGCATCTTGCAAGATTCTTCCCTTCTCTTCCTGTTTAAGCGCTTAATTATTCATGTTTGGTGTTTTTTTTTTATTTTTTTTTTTTTAGTTTTTATTTTTGGGGGGGGAACCAGACTTTTCCTTCCCTCTAAAAAAAAAAAAAGTTGATTCTTTTCTTCAATATATCTAGATAAACTTATATATATAAACGTATATCATCTTTGTTGTGCTTACGGTATTGGACATAAGTACTAGGATACTTCATTCCTGGACAACTGTAATCCTGTATTATTAAAACGTCCTTGAACTCACTGGAAGATTGCTAATCAGGGCTTTTGCAAAGAAGAAGACGAGTTAATGTTTCATCCACTACTTCAATTAAATGTAATATGCATCTTCGATAATTTCTGATTGAACTCCTCCCCCTTTTAAAATAAGAAATAAAAAAAAAAAAGTCGTTTCTAACGTTTGTGTAAACTTTTATTACTTTAATATTTTATTTATTTACAGTTTTCCTTATAATTTCCATTTCCAAAACAGAAGAAATCTGTCCGCTTTCTTTAGCTAATTACATCATAACGTAAACGTTTACCTTCTACATTTGCATACGTCGACCGGAAGTTTCCACTTCACAAAGAGTTAGTTTTGTTTTTTTTTTGTTTTTGTCTATGTACATAAATAAGAATATTTGCTTTTCAATCACGTAGCAAAGCTTTACTTCACACATTTTTAAGGTGATTTGTATACTCCACGATTTTCAAGGTACGAAAATCAAATGTCCGTGCTTGACGTTAGATATGTCTTTTGCATTTCTTTTTGCAACGCTTTAAATTTAATATATATGTGCACGTTATCTTTTGCTTTTGCTTTACGCCAATTTGGATTTCAAACGTTACGGATTACGCTCCACATCTGCAAAGCTGCTCAAGCTGTTAGATAAGAGCTGACCGTACATTCATATATAATTAAATTGAGAAATATTCGCTTGAGTGGTCGAAGGCACAGAATCTCGACTAGTAACTCAATAGTCGTGGATTTGAAGTTAGAGATTAGAGTTTTTAATAAAGCCGATAACTTAGGACGCTAGTGCCATGAAATTTTAGCCTTAAAATTTATTTATTTAACTAAATGCAATAATAATAATCCGTTATCCCTTTATAGGGAGATAGAGAGTCAATGTCAACGGAGGACGAAAAATACTAATCGAAAAATGCTTTTGAACTTATGAAGTTTTCACGTCCGCCAATTTGTGCTACACTTTGACGGACTACATAAATGACTTTCGCTAAACTTTCTCTAATAAAATTAGAGCAACTTAGCCAATAACAGATCTATTTCCCTTTCTTTAAAAAAAATAAATAAATTAAATAAAAAATGAAATAGTTATTACTGTGCAAAGCTGTGTTCGTGTAGCTACCTATTTTCTTATAACACCGTATCACAGCCATATTTTTGTCCGTTTATTGTAGCATTTCAATAATGCTTGGCTTGTGCATGATTACATACTCTAATGCGTTGCTTTCCTGTTTCGGTTTCAAATTGTTTTAATATGAATAATTGTTTTTAACGGACAAATGACGGAACACGTAAAAAAATACGACAAAAGAAGAAGGAAAACTAATTACGCTACCGCAGCTAATATGAGCCATTCTTATGCATCGGTCAAATTCATCATTATTACTGTTCATGCATCATGAATTTTTAGGTATCGAAGAAACAAACGGCAGGAGCAACGACTAAGTAGATATTCATATACTGTTGGCACTGATTGCTCCTGGCAAGCCATCAATATAACGACGAAGACTACAACGACAACGACAACGACAACGGCGACGACGACAACGACTGTAAAATAGCAACGACGATAATATACGAAACAACATGAAAAATCTATAAATTACGTGACTTTTTGTTAAGCCAAGTTGTGCTTGTTTGTTATGCGCTTTAAACGTTTTAGTATATATTTTAAAACCAGTGACAATAAAAAAGCAATAACATTAAAAACCATTAAAATTGCGAGAGTGCGTGTTGTTATCCTTCGTCGTAGATACAGTTTTCCGCATATGTAGGAAATTCCAAAATGTGTCTTTACGCATACAGATAGCAGATGGTGCGGAAGATTAAGTCCAAGACCAAGAAATTTACAAATATCATATCAAGATTTTCAAAACTATGCATATATTTGCTGATACCATAATGGCCAGTTACGCAGTTACTAATAACAATCTGATATTTGTTTGTAACTCTTTCAGATTTTAACCTACTTTTACGGTATATTTTAACGCCATATGTCACATATATGTTTCTGCATGACATTAATTTATGCAGACGCCGCCGCTACGTTTGCCAGCATATATCGCATTTTGTTTTGTGCAAGCATAGTAATAGGAGTGTGAAGTGGCATAGACAGAGAAATAGATTGATAAATAGATAGATAGATAGATAGATAGATAGATAGATAGATAGATAGGTAAAGAAAGAAAGAAAGAGAAAAGTGTTTTTTTCTATTCTTCAGCTCAAACAATATAAATAAAGGCTTCGTTACTCTTTATACTTCAATTTTTATGTTCAGCCTGCTGTTGCTGTAGCGCCATAATATGTAACGCAAAATATTTAATTACATTTGCAGCACTTCTCCCAGAAGAAACCCCGCGCAGTTTGCGCAAACCCATCATAGATGTAGATATAGTGCGGATAGTGAGCATTTACAGTAACATTCGCTCATTTAATGCGCCATATATGAGGCTCGAATTCATTTTTGTGCTAATGAAAGCGCGTAAAATGAGTAATGTGAACGTGCATGTGTTAAACGAGAGATTACTGTATGTGCATAAGTATTTAAAAATTTCTATGTGATAAATAGAAAAAATTCCTTTGTTTGTATGCTTTGTCATCTTTTTTCATTTCTTTTTTTACTTTTCTACAAAAGTTGTTGATCTTGTAGGCGATAAGAAATAATTTGTAGTTGTTGTTGCTGTTGTATGTGGGAAAAACAAACATACACTGAGAATCATTAGTTCTCCGCATACAAAATTCAAAAAGTCTCAATCACAGAAGGTATATTAAATAACGTTTCAGATTTATTACGCTTGTGATAAATTAAGGACCCTAAAAATAGGGAAGGGCTATTCCCATTTCTGATGCATATTCATAATTGTTCTTGTGTTTTTGTTTAGTTTTCGGTCTTAGGTCTTATTTTCCTTTTGAACGCATACGATAGCAAACATGGTTGCTGTGTACCTTGAGTGATAAATTTTAAGATTACGTCATGGAATATATACTCCTTGGATATCTTATGGCGGTAAATGAGTGGAAAAAAATAAAATGACGCCGTTTGCACTGATTTTTAGCATTCAAAATATGTTATTATCCACATATTTACTTTTACTTTCCAGAAAAGTTATTTTCCAAAAAGGAAGAGAAAATAAATGTAGCTCAACGATGGGTGTCGAAAGATTCGGTCTAAGACGAACATATCTCTTTTCTTTTTCTTGTGTTCATTTTTTTCGCTCTTATATATATATATAAGTTCGTATTGCATTATTGTCGATACTTTTATGCTCTTTGACTGGCTGTGCCTCCCATGTTTACTCGTTTTTACCACATTGCTGTTTTGTATTTTCAAAATTTATAATAGCACAGCGAAAGGAATTGCCAACATCAATTTTTTGCTTAAGTTCCTAATTACAGTATTTTCCAATATAAGATAAGGGAAAAGAAAAAGTAAGACTCTGCTAAAGTTATGCTTTCAACCTTAAGAGATCAACGTTTTATGTGAATAAGAAATTCACAATTTTAGTATTCATCGAATAATTAGTAGAGATTGCCAAATAAAAAAATTGGAAATCGTATTAACAGTATCCTAAGACCTTTCTAAGTGATTTTCTTCATTTATTTTCATTTGTTTCAAGTTGGAATTGTTTTTTACAACATTTTTTTAAGGGAGCTTGTTCAAAAAAAAAAAAAGGAAAAGGAGAAGATAGCCAATTAGTTTGGAATCATACGACTTCAGCGCTATTTGAAGGCACTCAGTTATGCACTTTGAATGAATATAGACGTTTTTGCGTTCACCAAAATTGAACGTCGTAAGCAGTTTTCTAAGCGGAAAATAGAGTGAAAATGGGAATGAATACGGCATGATATATTCATATTAAATACTGGTTTGGGATTTGAACGATATCTCACACAGGTCGGTGTTACGGGTTTTTATATATTTTAATATATATCGAAAGAGACGAAACAAGCCACAAACCGAATGAATATAGGTTGCTGCCCCTTTTGCATTGCCGTTAAAGTAGATAGCAGTGTTTTGAAAGTTTAGCTCTGTAGTATTTTTCACCGTATTGTTAAGTGCTGGCAATCGCGTTTGCCTTCATGTTGATATATAAACGTCACTCTCTTTTCTCTTTTAATACATTTATTGAAGTTTTTCTCTCTGTCATGAATATTTGCCATCGCATTAAGAACTCCATAACATTCATTTAATTTGGTTTTGGGGGTAGTGAGTGAGTTTTGTAGGCCTTGCGCAAATGAGAATGTCATACACAAGCTCGAGTTTGCCTGGTACGCGCGTGTGACGCGACAAAATAAATAATAGTAATATTGTTATCATTTGCCGACACTAAGCTGAATAATAAATAATAATAATAACAACCACAAAATATAAAAAGAATTAAAGCACTGCAGGGTACACACAAAAATACAAACGTACCTGAAATGTGCTTTTAATTGTGCGCGCATATGTGTATGTGTATTTGCACTTATTGCTATTTAAAACAAAAGCACACATTATAAGCTCATTTGACGGCAACAATTAAAACAATTTAAAAATAATTTTTGCTTTGACTTTTTGCGGACGGATGGTTATTTCATGTTAGCGGAATTTTGTGTTAAATCGTTTTCAGTGATGTTGAAGAACTGTTAACTAAATGTATATATATATATATATATATATATATATATATATATATATTTTCGCTAATGAAAAACGCCAATTTGAAAGTCTATACTAATAATAAAATCGCACAAATAAAATTTTTATAAAAGTAAAATTCAAAAATATGTCTTGTTTTCCTCGCGAATATATATATATATATACATATATATGTACATATATATAATTATCATCTGCGGAAATTTATGTTAGTAGCTCCTCATTTATAAGATTTGCATTCGAATTTTTATATTATTGGCAATCAAAAAAAAAAAAAAAAAAAACAAAAAACAAGAAATAAGAAACAAAAAAAACGCCAAAGGTAAAACCTTTAAAAATGTTAGGTGAAGCAAAAACGAATCCTTTTTAAATGGAAAAATCACATATAAGCTTGAGCGTTCCAATCGAAATTAAGCAATAAAAAAAGTGCCTTTGTTCCAATAAATAAATAAAAATTTAATTTAAAATAAAGAGAAAAACTCGAAGAAAAACTTTTAATCAAATATTTTATTTCCTCGCCTTAACATAGAAAAATCAATTTTTATGACAATTTTGTAAATATAACACATATATATGTATATAAATATATGAAATAATAAAGAAGTAAGTTCTCAAGCATTTATATTTTGTTCGTATTATTATTATTAATTTTATTTATTTATTTATTTATTTTTTCATAATATTTATTGTATTTTATATATTATTGTTGTTGTTGTTGTTTTTGACTTGCAAAGTTTTACGTCTCTTTAGATTCTATTTCGTTCATTCATTGTGCTGAATCATCGTAAAGACATGGTTTTGCATAATTTTTTGATAAATGTGTATTCTTTAGGATTTTTTCATTTTGTTTTTTAAATTTATTTTTATTTAAAGTTGACAAAGAAATTATCTATAAAATTGTTGAATCACGTTCATCAAATATTTGCCCAGCAAGAGAAATCTATTTCGTTTGCATATCGTCTTGGCGTTGTTATGGAAACCCAAGAATCTTGTCATCATTCTTCATTTTCTCGTTCGTTGTGCACAAAAGATTTAATTACCTTCATTTCTCGGGATTCTCTAACGTTCTCTTGTTCTTATTCTTATCCGCAATCATATATCAATAAAGTAGTGGAGCTAGAGAACCTCTATTATTTCGGTGTTTTGGTATTTGGTGTTTTTATTATCGCCTTTTTCTATTTACTTATTTCCTATATTTACGTAAAGAAGTTTATTGTAAATTCTTTTAAGAATATGTGTTTCTTTTTTTTTTTTTTGTTTTACTCCCACTCGCAATCCAATTGCCCATTGCACAGGGCTTTCTTCGGCCTTTCGGTATGCGCTTCTTTTTTTTGTTTTTTTTTTTTTGTTTTTTGTTTTGTCTATTTATCATGACTGGCCCCAATTTTCAAAGTTATGTAGCTTTCGTCGTTGTTGTCATTCTGTTTATTTCTCCTTTTCCGGGTATCTTTCGGTTCTTCCTCCCCTTGAGAAATGGCTGAAGCAATGATGTAGCAATGCTGTTTTGCTTTTTTCTAAATTTTTTTTATTTTGTATTTGTATTGTTTCGAATCGCACTCACAGCGTTTGCCGTTTTCTTTTGTTGTTGTTATTTTAAGTATATTCAAAATTAGGTCGCCGAACTTCAAGTGAAACGTGTTATCGAAAATTACAGAATGTCGAAAACTTGGGGAAATTCTCTAAAATCGCTTTTAATTTCTGAACTTTTCATATATATATAATGATGGTCGGCCTGCAGCAAACATGGGACACACCATATTTTTTATTTCATTTATCGAATCTCTAAAAATTCCATATGTAAAATTACATTTCGATTAGTTTAATTCTTGATACGGAACAATTCTAAATGAAAAGTTATTGGGCTATTCATCAAATTCTTGCTGTACGTATGTGTGTGTGTGTGTGTATTTGATATATTCGAATACTTTAATTGTTGAAAATTTCTTGTTGTATTGGAAGCAAGGCAAACTGCAGTTTAATCAGATGCCTGGAAAATCGGAATTTTATGCTATATTCATATGAAGCACAGAAGCTGCTAATAATCAATACATTTTGCGATATCATCTATGTAGGCAAAATAATGTATAGCTAGGATTTCCTCCAAAAATCATTGAAGGTTAAAGGCTTTGAGATTTTTTAAAATTTATAGAAAAAATCTTAAGGTTGAGACGTAGTTTGGTTCGAGTATTAGATCGATAATCGGAAGCGATCGGAAGTTTCAAATACGTTTTAAGAAAATGGGACATATATGAAAGCCCGACTATCATCCGACGAATCCCCGCGGATCGTTTAAAGGTTAGTCGAGTGAAAAGCAAAAACTTAAGAAAGCGAACATCAATGTCGCAAGTGTAGACGATGGGTAATGGCAACTTCCCTCAAACTTCACGAACAATGCCTGGAGTTAATTATTAAGTGAACAAAAATGTAATGCGAAAAGTTTGACTTTGCCTAGCTTTTTCCAGAGCTGAAAGGGGCTTGATCGTCGTGAATGTGAAAATTTTTCGTTCAAACATCATCAGGTTTATCAGTTATATTGTATAATAATTCCGAGTGAGATTTTTTTATGTTAATAAAAATATGTAAAGACTGATTGGTTGGCAGAGATTTATTTTAACCCCGGAAACTTTGGTTCCTACTTCCGTATGTTAGACACAAAACGAAATGATAGAATAATAAACGCTATTATGCTATACATATATATAAACAGTTGAGAAAAATACAAGACAATTTAAATTTGAATATGTCAAGGCTGTGAAGTTTTTATCTGGCAAGCATGTGTGCATTGTTTGATCACTATGATGAATATGATAAATAATGAATAAAAATACCGATAAAGTATTTTATATTCAATTAAATTAAATTAATAAATAAATTAGTTTTCGAAATCAAAATCGAAATAATGCCAAATAGCGGGAAGGTAACAAGGTGCTTTTGAATGCTTCCTGTTTCAAATCAGAAAGCATTGAGATATGAAAAAAGCTATGTGTTAATGAAAGAATTCCTACTGAGCACCTTATATAGTATATGCTTGTAAGGTAAGTCAATGATGGATGAATGAATGATGCAAGGACAAGACCGAATAATAGGAATCTTTTACTGATTTACTGATGAATTTTATAGCTCGATTGCCTTGAAATTCACTTGATAAACGCTGATGAACTGTTTAGAAAATCTTTGCAAGAAGACACGGATTAGAAGAAAGTTTTTGCATTTTTACTTTGATTTCCAAAAGTTAATAAGTTGTCCTAAGCTATGTACGTTTGGGGATGAAACTATAGCTGCGAGGATCCTTCTAATCGATCTGTATCTACAGAATGTCCAGTACACCTTCTAGTAGCATAAAGTTGACCTTAGTGCGGATGAAAATTGCTTAGCTCAATGCCAGTGATCATACACTTTCATTGTCAACAAATTCATTCCAAACTCGCCACACACGCTATGATTTTGAAACGATATAAGTGGCAACCTTGAAAACCAATTTCTTCTACATCCCGCAGGACCAATTTTATGTTTTCATCAAATGTGTATTTAAATAATATTTTGCTTTTATAACTAAAAAAAAGAAAAGAAAAGAAGGCTATTACAAGTGAAACGTTGTTCCTTTAAATAACGATTCGAATAATTCATTAATTTTGAGTGTGTGTGGTAAGAGTTTCATTTCTTTTTTTTTAACACTACTGAATAACGAACTAATTTTACCGAATAGTGCTTATCAATATTGTTAAGTTTATTCAAATATTATACTACCTTGAAATATCGCTCAATAACAAGGACAGGGATTTGTGCCACTTTCAAAATAAACGGCTCACTTAGCGTTGTAAGAAGACGTGGTAAAAAAAGACGCGTTATAAGCACAGATATTGAATGGCAAAATATTTGAATCCAATTAAATCATTGCAGTATCCATACAAGTGAGAACATTATAGCCGGGCAAGGCCGACCATCAACTACCCGACGCTACATACTGCATCAATTATATCTTGCTTCTATATAAAGACATAATTTTCACATGCGTATTGATGGGAAAGCGGGCCCAAAACGCAACCTAATGTAGTACAAGTTTAATCCTTACATGGGCCAGAATCCAAAAATAAACGTAGATAGTCCAAATTTTGTAAACTTGATTTTTGTAGAAAATTGTTATAATACTATGGGTCAATTTTCATCACCGCATATGAAACCTTGGACTTTTCTGCTCTATAAAATGATCAATTTTCCTGAATATCCCTATTAGGGTAGGATATGAAAAGTAGACTGAGAAGGTGCAAATTTGTGATATTTAATTTTTTTTTAATCTAAAACACTATTGTGATATAATATGAACAGTAACATAATATACCTTGTACCACAAGTGGTGTCGGGTATAAAAAACGCTCCAAGCCTATCGAAGTTTTTCACAAGCATTTATGCCAAAATATTACTCTTCTCTCGATTTGTGCGGAGGAATGTTGACAAGTTTTTTTACATAATTTATGTGAGTGGTGGAGCAATCGATAAACTTTAACTTTTTTATATGAAATTAATTTTAAAAGTTCTCTGTTTGCCTATTTAGTAGCTTTCGGTTCATAAAACTGAATCTCAATGTAGATGAAAGTATGAATTGTTTAAACCATTTAGTAACTTTGAATGACGTTTACAATCTAATCGTCCATCCATCCATCCATCCATCCATCCATCCATCCACCCATCCATTCATCCATCCATTCATTCATTCACTCATAACATCCATCCATCCATCCATTCATCCATCCATCTATCCATCCATTCATTCATTCACTCATAACATCCATCCATCCATCCAT